TTTCCATCCAACTTTAAAGTATGTTCCTTTTTTTCCCCTTGTCTTTGTCACTTAGCTAATTTCCTATTTTTATTTCATGATCCTATTTTATCTTATCCTACATTTTGTTCCCCCTTACTTTTACCTCTTCTCATTCTTCCTCCTATTTCCTCTCATCAAACAAAAAAAAATATAGGTTGACATTTCTCATTAATCATTCAACAAGATTTTTTTTATGGTATGTTTACCTCTTCCCCATCTGACCCTTTATAGTACCTAATTCTCAAAAGCAGTGGTTAAACTCATTGACCCCAACGATTGCCCCATTGTCAGCAGCCAGCAACATCCCATGGCTAGTGTCCATGGATGAAACTTGCCAAGGCATTATTCTGAGTCGGTGGTGGATCCTGTCCACAGCTAGCTGTCTGACTAAATTGTGAGTATAGCTAAAACCATAAGAAAAAGAACCATACTATGTACACATTTTAGAACTGCTTTATTATTATCTACATTCACATTGAACTTTAATGCAGTAAAGGGTTTTTTGTCTTGTGTGAAATTACTGTAGGAATGTTTGATGGTTAAAATTTAAACACTATTCAAGGTAAAAGTACAGTAATACAAAGTAGAAAGTTATTGGATTACACTGTTAAATAAGTAAGGACATTACACTGGCAAACAGTTATGTTTAAATGAGACCTTATTGATTTTTTTTACTTTAATATTACTGTATTATTCTTCACCTTTCTATTCCATTAGGAAGCACTTGCTCTCTGATATTTCAGGAGTCATTGACCAAGAAGGTATTTTACTTGGCCATAAAATCTGCCTGCATCCCAGTTTTAATCCACAAGATGGAAAAGATCCAGTCAAAGGAGGCATAGGAGTGGTCCTCCTGCAGTACCCTATTAGGAGGAAAGAAATTCCACTTTCTCACACTCATAATATCTTCTGGAAAAGCTGTTATAACTGCCTGTACAGACATTGCAGAGTATACCAATATCAGAGTAAGCCACAAAAATCATATTCTGCTGTATCATGTCGTTCATAAAATTGATATTTTTAAAAAAGCAAATTAGTGGAGAAATAAAACAAAGTTCATGAAAATCTTATAAACAATTGGGTCCATATTACTCCACTTTGCAAGAGCAAACACAGATAATATCAGTGCTTAAAATTAATGTCTACTCACTCTAAAGAAAACAGAAAAACAAGTATATGAGAAATACAAGTTGAAATAAATACATATGAAATAACAAGGAATGAAATGTCAAAGTACTTCACAAAATCCATGTAATGATTTAAAGATATACTCTATGAATCTTAGGAAGGTATGCTATAAAATGAGTACAAGACAGAATAACCCATATCTCACATCCTTCCATCTCTGCTCCTTCAGAACACAATAACTTTGGGACCAGTATCAGGAAGTTATCAGTTAAGCTTCTGGACCTCTCATTCTGCCACCATCAACATATCCACATGGCTAAACATAATAACTTATGTATCTGGAGTCAGCCCCAAGAAGATTGCTGGGTACTTACTGTAAGGGCAAAGTTACCATTGGGGTTGTTTATAGAAATACATGTAAAATTCTGTAAGGATTGATAGAGACATTTATACTAAGATAACAAAGCAGGAATATTTTCATTGAGAAAACACTGAGAAGTCGGGAACTTACAAAAATACCTTTAGAAACAATGAGAAAAATAAATTGGTGGTTAGCGTCTGGGATTGGGTTTTTAACTCTTTAGCAGGAAATCCATTGCCAGAGCCTTTGTCTGACAAAGTCATACCTTTTAGGTCCCAGACTGAATCTTCCTCAGTAAATCTATGGCCACTGATGGTATCTGATATAATCACACCACTATGGTTTCAGAGTGAACCTGTATCTAGAAATCTGTGGTCAGAATCTGTAACTGATACAATCACACCAACAAAGCTTCTTCTAGAATCTCCACCAGTAAGTGTAAGGACAGCGCCTTTATCAAATAGAATAAAACCACCTTGGTTCCAGGCTGAATTAAAAGGAGTACATCTATGGACAATACTTGTATCTGATACAGTAACAATACTGTGGACTCAGGCTGCATATCCAGGAAGAATTTCCTGGACAGAACTTATTGCTGATATATTCACAACATGGACTCAGTCTGAATTTCTAACAGTAAATCCCGGGATTCAATCTGTCTCTTCTGCATTCACACCGTGGCACCAGGCTGGGTCTCCAACAGTAAGACATTGGACACAACTAACATCTGATTCAGTTTTAGTGTGGAACCAATCTGCTGCATCTACACTAAATCACTGGACACAATCTAAAACTGATACATTTACAGAGTGGACAAATAGTCAATTCACAAACGTCAAGCATCCAACAGAAGCTGTATCTAATATATTGAATCAAGCTGAAATTGCAAAAACAAATTCCTGGACAAAACTTGAAGCTGATACTGTGTTACAGGTGGCTCAGGCTAATTCTGAAATCATCAATCCATGGATACAAGCCATAGATAATACAGTAACACCATTGGTTCAGGGTGTTTCTTTAGCAAAAAGTCCTTGGACACAGTTTGAATCTGATATAATCACAACGTGGACTCAGACCCTAATACCAGCTGTAAATCCATTGACGATGACTGTAACTGGTAGAGATACCCTGTGGAGCCTAGCTGAAATTATGTCAGTAAATTCTCAGGTACAATCTGCAACAGAAATATTCACACAATTGATTCAAAACCAAACTATTGCAGCAAGTGTCTTGACACACTCTATATTTAATCAAGTCATTCTTTTTAACAAGGCGGTTAGCCCAACAACAAATCACTGGACAAAGCCTGAAGCTAATACAATAGCAATGTGGACACTGGCTAAGTCTCAGAAACAAAAGGCCTGGACAGAAGTTAACTATGAAATAGTCTCATCATGGAATCCAGGCAAAGTCTCAGAAGTAAAGATTTGGACACTGCCAGAGGCTGGTATATTCAAGCATCAAGCTGCATCTAAAGCAGTAATTCCTATGATAGAGGATACAGCTAAAATTGTCAAACAGTGGACACAAGCTGAATTTCCAGCAGTAAATACTTGGGCAGAGTCAGTAGTTGATATAATTACAACATGGACACAGACAGAATCTTTAGCAACAAATCTTTACACATTTCTACTTGATAAAGGCACACTGAAGACACAGACTAAATCTCCATTAATAAATACTTTGAACCAAGAAGAAACTATAACTGTCAAATCCAAGATACAGACTGAATCTCCAAAAGTAAATATCCAATCAGAATTTAAGACTCCATTTATATCTCCTTGGGTTGAGTCTGAGCCTGGGGAAGGCACACCATGCATTCATGTGGAAGATCAATGGACAGGTCCTGTAACTGAAACAGTCAAATTGTGCAGACAAGTTATTTCTACAACATTTAATTCCTTCTTAAGAATGGGAAATATAGCAACTGCATGGTTTAAGGCTGAATCTCCACAAATAAACCCATGGAAGAGTGCTAAAGCATCAGAAGTCATACACAGGATACAGTCTGAATCTTCACCGGTAGAATCCTTGAAAGAAGCTCAAATATCTAAAGTCATACCCTGGACAAATGTTGAATATTCAACATTATCTCCCTGGATAGACAACAGAGATTTGAAAGTAATATCCTGGATAAAGACTGAATATCACCCAATAAATACCTGGTCAGAAGTTACATCTTCAAACACCATACCCTGGACCCAGGTTGAATTTCCACAAGTAGATCCCTTTCCAGTGTCCAAGGATTCAAAATTCATACCTCGGACCCAGGCTGAATCTCTACCAGAATATTCCTAGATAAGGGCAACAATTTCAAAAGAATCCTGGATCCAGAGGGAAGCCCCACAAGGAAACCCCTGGACAAAGGCCACATCTTCAGTAGCCATACACTGGACTCAGGATGACTCTGAATCAGTAGATCCATGGATACAACCGATACAGGTTACATATTCAACAGTAAATACCCGGGCACAGCCCTCATTTAATACTATCATATTACGGACCCATTCTGAATATCCAGCAGTAACCTGGATAAAGTCTATATCTGAAACACTTGCACCATTGATACAGGATGAATTTCAAATATTAGACCCTTGGGTACAATCTGTATCTGAAAAAGTGATGTCCTGGACTCAGGCTACACCTACATCAGAAGAACTTTGGAAAGAAGTTGTATTTCCTACAATTGCCCCATGGGAACAGAGTGTGTCTCCATCAGTAATTACCTCCACACAATCTGCATTTGAAGTAACCACCTCATGGACCATGGCTAAATTTCCAGCAGTAATTAACTGGATGCAGGCAGGTCCTGATGCACTCATGTCATGGACCCAGAATGAATCTCTAGAAATCAAGACATGGGTAGAGGACACAATTTCCACAATTGAACAGAGAACCAAAGCTGAATATTCATCTTTAAATCTAGAGACACAGATTATAACTTTCAAAATCACAGTGGGGATATTAAATGAATCGACATCAACGAAATCAGGGTCAAAGGCTATAGCTTCCAAAATCACAACAGGCATCCAGGCTGAGATTTTAGCAGTCAAAACCTGGGCAGAACCTGCAGCTTCAATAGCCACAACTTTTAAACAGACTGCCTCTTCCACTGTAAACTTTTATGTACAGATTGGAACTGACAAAGGCACAATTTCAACAATTCTTGAAACTGAAGCCAAGAAATCTTGGCTATTGCCAGAAGTTAACACATTCAGAACGTCAGTGCAACATCAGACAGATAATACCAAACTCTTGGTTCAATCTGAAAATCAAGCATCTCTTCTGTGGACACATTCTGAAGTTGAAAACAGTAGTCCATGGACCTTACCTGAATTTGGAACAATCTTATCCTGGATAGTACCTGTGCATGCAGCAGCCATATCTTTGCTGCAGCCTGGCTCTTATATTAGCAAAGCTTCATTTAAAATTCAGGCAGAAAAACCATGGATTCAAACAACCTTTCAAACACTCAGTACTTCACATCATTTAGTGACAAAGTACAGCTCCAGGCCACACATAAAATCGCTACAGTCATGTCATGGATCCAGTTCAAAATAGGTACATTAGACTACTGGACCCAGTCAGAATATACAGTAAAATTGTGGACTATTTTTGAAACTGGTACAATAAGACCATGGAGCCAAAGTGAAACAAACACAGTCAAGCCCTGGACCCAACCTAAAACTAGTACAATCAGAGCATTGACACAGGCTGAATCTCAACAAGTTAGGTACTTGTCTTTGCCAGTACCTGAAACAGTGACACTATTGTCACAAGCTGAAATGGAAGCAGCAAAACACTTGACCATGTCTGATATGAATACTGTTGCACCATGGTCCCTAACTCAGAATGATACAATAAAGCAAATGACTCAAATTGAATCTAAAAATGTTCTTTCTTGGTTTCAGCCAGAAAGGACAATAGCCCATCCCTGGATCCACCTTGAAACTAATGTAGTCAGACCTGGATACAATTCTGAAGGCAATGCTGTCCAAACAAGAATCACTACTGAAACCAATACAGTCAGATTCTGGACCTCTTCTGAAATAAAACTTTGGACCCAGTCTGAATCTCAAGCAGTAAGTATGTGGCCTGAAGATAGCAGAGCCACACTTTGGTCTCTAACTCAGAATGATACAATTACATCTTGGTTCCAATTAGAATCTCAAAGGATACTTTCTTGGGCCCAGTTTGAAGGTGGTATAACCAACCCTTGGACTCAGCAGGAAACTGCTACAACTAAACTATGGACCCAATTTGGAACTTTAAAAATTCTTTCCTGGACCCCACCTGATACAATAATATACTGGTTCCATACTCAAATAGATTCAATCACACCCATGAGCCAGCCTCAAACTCAAAAATTCCAAAGTTGGATGCAGACTATAACTCAAGTACGAAAAATTTCACCTGTGACTGAAGTTGATACAGTAATACCTTGGTTACAGTTTCAAAGTAACACAGTTAGATCCTGGATTCAACTTTATTCCCAAACAGTGAGTCTTGGGACCCATACTGAAGTTGGTATAATTGGGCACTGGACTCAGAAAAGAATTGCTACAGATAACCTTGGGACCAACTCTGAAACTCAAGCAACCAGACCCTGGGACAAGCAGGAAGCTAACACAGTCAGAACTAGGTTCTACCTTCAAGGAAAAACTGTCAGACTGCAGACTTATTCAGAATTCGGTACGTTCAGTACTTTCATCCGATCTGAAATTGGCACAATTCATCATGATTCTTTTATGATCCAGTCAAAAACCCAAGAAGTCAGACCCTGGACCCAGTCTGAAATTGTTATGACTAGATACTGGGTTTTGTCTCAAGTAGTTAAACCACAGACAATGCTAAAAGGAGGAGCATTTACACCCTGGATCCAGTCTGAAACTCAACCAGCCACACCATGGACCAAGCCTCAAGTTAATATAACATTCTTTTCTATTCCTGTATCTGATAAATTCAGAACCTGGATCCAACCTAAAACAAAACTACTGCATTACAAAGCTGACATAATTGTATCACTGATTTCTCCTGAGACTGGAACAACTGGAAAAACTCTGCTAATTGATCATTTGGATAACAAGTCTAAGCTTGTCACATTTTTACCTGTTGAGACTATTTCTACCGCACATCAGTATTTTATAACTTTGTCAACAGAGATAAGTACCATAGAAAGAAAAATTAAAAGCAGTTATCTCCAGCCAAGCCAGCTCACAAGCATTTTCCTTCTTACCCTGTCAAGCAAGTGGTTTCCTAGTATAATTGGTCACAAGAACTTTGGCAGCATATTAGAAATTATTGACACAAAAGGAAGCCTTGATGTCCTTTCTGTCTCTCTTAGTTATCTTTCCCCAGGCTTTTCCTTCCTTGTTTCTTGTTCTCTTACATATCCATGTACATTGTTCCCTTCCTGTTTAGTCTTTTCTTCTTGTCCTTATCTTTCACACTGTGTTTTCCCATCTTGCTTCAACTTTTCTTCTCTGGCCTTCTCTCCTGTGCTTTTGCCCTCAACCTCTTCTGATAATCAGCTCCAGGAACTGTCTTTCTCAAAGTTTATTGAAGATACTATTTTTTCTCACACTTTCTCATCCCTGCATGCTCCTCCAGCAATAAGTTTAACAAAAGAGTTTCCCCTGATGCCTGGATCTCTATCTGGACCCAACTATAAGCATCAGTCTGGACAACAGCCTCTCAATGTTTCCCTGGCTGAGTGTCGCCTAGATATGATTTGGAAAGACAATCTCCAGGCTCTCTGGCTCTTCAAGACAGCTGCTGTTTCTCACGAGACCACAGGCAAGTTAAATATAGTCATCTGTTTGACTTACTACCTTAGATAAAGAGTCTTTTTGAAGCCAGCAACCAAAATTTCTGAGTAGATCACAAAAGGTTTTCATAGATTTTTGTAGGATTAAATTGAAGATATTTTTCTGAACCAATAGTTAAGAGATCTCTAAATATTGAGAGATTAATACCTTATTTTTCCAGTAAGGGCTTATGAGTTAAGTTTTATAAGTACCACTCCTTTCAGAGCATAATATTACAAAAAATATCTGATTGCTTAAATAGATTCTATTATTCTACTTGAGGAACGAACAGAACAAGTCAAATTATCTTTATCAGGAGAAGTATACAGATACCCTCTGTTACTATACCTAAGTTTATTGTGAATTAGGAAAATAATCCCAAGCATTTCCTCAAAGTTCAGGACATCAAATTTTCAAACTCGTTCCTAAAATAGAAAGTCAGGAAATTCAATGAAGAGGATAATAATACTAACTTTACTCTGTTATACATGTGGATTCATTCTAGAGTGCGGATTACGCCCTGGCCTTGTCTCCCGTTGTCCCAATTGCTGGGAGGCAGAAACAGGTGAATTTCCCTGGATGGTTTCTATGCATCTCTCTTTCTCCCATTTTTGTGCTGGCTCTATTTTGAATGAACAGTGGATTCTTACCTCAGCAACATGTGCCAATTTCATGTAAGTCTGGGTAAGCCATCTCAAGGTTAATGTATCATAATAAAGTGATGAAAAATTTATGATTTTTTAATGGATACATTTCTTTGAACAAACTAGATGTTCTTTATTTATATAATCAAATTTGATGAGTCTCCTTTTCTATAGAAATGATTGAATTGTTTTCTTAACAACCATTTCCTATTTTATTCTTTTTTCCTCATATACCACTAAAATTTATGTTAATATGTTTCTTGGGGTTAATTTTAGTACCAAATAAAAAACATTGTGAATTGTAAAATTATGTCTTGCTTTTATATAATTTCACCTATCTAGAAGATGGCAAGCATGCTATTCCTTTAAAGCATGCTATAACCTTAAATTATAACCTATACTTACACATATTACTTTTTGATTTTATAAAGAGGCAAAAGCAACATGGATTCAGTAGAAATCATACTTTATATTTTGAACTTTGAATATTTAGTATGTATTATGATATTCTGTTATGATACTAGTCAGTAGTAGTGAGTGGTAGCTCCCAGTAGGCCATGCAATCACATAGTCATTATGACAAGCATCTGTGTTACCCACTGTGTTGCTAAGCTATGCATGTTAACAACCACTGCTGTTAATTAAGTTTGGTGTATGACAGTATTTTCAACTTACAATGTTTTCAACTTAAGATTGGTTTATCAGAATGTAACCTCATAACCAGTGGATAGGCATTTTATTAGAGTTTCTGTTTAGCTTTTTATAACTCCAGATATGCTGTCCTAAAAATTCAATTTATCAATCTATATTTTGATACTATTTAGCTCAAAAGATTTCTGGCAAACATTTTATTTTCTTATTTTAACGTACTGAAGTAGAACTATTAATATAGATAAGAGAAACAGGGCTCATGTAGAAAAAGTGGTCGAACTCTCACATGTTCTGTGAGATATTTCAGTTCCTAATTTTCAAAATTCTTATGAGTAAGTATTAAGCACTTTAAATATTAGGGAGTACAATAGTGTAGGTTAATACTTTTTAATAAGGATACTGACAAAGTAATTTACTTCTCATTTCTTTTTTTGATGGTATTGGGATTTGAACACAAGGCCTCATTCTTGCTAGGCAGGTACTCTACCACTTGAGCTACACTCCACCAATACTTTACTTCTCATTTCTGAAGATGTTCATGCCTACTGAGCCTAGGGATGACCTAATATCATTAATAATGTCCTAGTGTTAAATACATGTGCTGACTGAATAGGGAATAGGAATAGTATTTTGGTGCTTACATGGACCCTATCTGATTCATATGATCTAAGGGTTTTTTTTCACATTGAAATTTAGAAATAATAATATTTCTAATGAATTTTCCTTCCAGAAAAAGCTCAGAAGCTCTGGCCTTGGTCCAAGTGGGTCTTATTGATCTACAGGATCCTACCCAAGCTCAGACTGTTGGTATTGATCGTGCCCTGCCCTACTTAGGACCCAAAGGACCTCTTGGACCTGGGCTAATCTTTCTGAAGCAGCCACTACATTTTCAACCCCTGGTTCTTCCTATTTGTCTGGAGGAAAGTTTGGAGCAAGAGAAGAATATACAACTGTATGACTGCTGGTTACCCAGCTGGTCCCTCATGAGAGGTGAATAATGAAAAAGGCACTGGATTAGAATGGAATGATATGTTTGGAAAAATAGTAATATCCTTTCTTGAGTAACTGAGCATTTATTATATTTCTCTAATCTAGTCTAAAGCAAATCAACAAAATTCACAAACATTTCTTCTCTGTTTTCCATCAGGAAGTCCTGGAATTTTGCAAAAAAGGCACCTAAACATCCTGCAAGCCAGCACTTGTGCCCAGTTTTGGCCCAAGCTGAATGAATTTACTTTCTGTGTGGAGGCCAAGAAAGCTATGGGGGAGGCTGGCTGTAAGGTGACAATTAAAGGGAATGTGAAAGTCAGAAATAAAAAGGATTATCCTTCAACACCAAGATACCTCCTACCATCCTTCAGATAATCAATTGATACTCTGTTCTGTTCCCTCTTTCTTACAGGGTGACTTGGGGGCACCTTTGGTGTGCCATATACAACAAAAGGATACATGGGTACAGGTGGGAATCTTGAGTCACTTTGATGAACATTGCACAAAGCCCTATGTCTTCAGCCAAGTGAGCCCTTTCATTTTCTGGATCCAGGGAGTTACACGGCTCAGCCATGCACCATGGTCCCAACAAGGACCCATAACTACCTCTGCTTCCATCTCCCTTTCAGTCTCTCCTGCTAGGAATGCTTCAGTTTTAACCTCTACAACTGCTTCTATTCGACCACACTTCATTTCTCTGCCACAACCTCAGAGTAAGGCCCAATAAAATTATAGTAAGAGAAGTATAAGAAGGAAATTAACAAGGGATTGGAAATACAAAAGAGTGAAAGGAGAAGAGAAAACTCTTTTCTTGAGAAATGAGAAATGCATATTTTTAAAATTTATGAAATCTTTGGAGTGATTTATTTATTGGTCTAAAAAGGAACGTCATAGTTAACAATACTGTTTAACTTTCATAATGTTATAGAATATAGATGCCAGTGGTTATTAATATAATTATCTTGATTGATTACTCTGACATGTAGAATATTGCAATAACTTATCAACTTCTCGGGAGCAAAAAAGAGTAGGGCTAACAATGATACTCAAAAACTTATTCTTCTAACAGAGAGTACTCTTCTACTACTATATAGCACCTTGCATATGTGTTACAATAATTTTTATTAAAGACGTTTTGTTTTGTTGTCAGTGATAAATAATGATTTGTAGGCTCTTGTGTGCATTTATTTTACATTAGGGTTATTATCTTTCTTCTTCCCTTGACTATTCTGAAACCTATCACAATATCATCAATGACTATTTCTCATTGTTTACTTGATCTTACTGCCTTTGAAAAATATTTCAGTCCCAGAGTCTGTGTTTTAATCTGCTTAATAAGTATTTACTAGCTATCTCAAGTTGCCATATTATAGTGAATAATGATTTTTAAGCATAAGTGAGGCCATATCATTTCTTTGGTGATATTCTTCAAATCCTTTCTCACACAGATGAAGAAGTCTACAATCAGGATCTTATTTATGATTTTACCTTCATCTTTATCACTTTATTCTTTTTATAGTCAGATTGTTTTCATAAATTTTCTTTTTATCTAGGATTCATTAATCGTACAAGAGGATTTCAAGTGAAAATTCCATATATGCATACATTATATTTTGGTCAAGTTCTCTGTGCCCCCTTCTACTGCATATGAGTGAAAATGTGATACTTGGCTTTTTGAGCAGGGCTTATTTCACTAAATGTGATGAGCCCTAGTTCTACCCATTCCTACAAATAGCATAATTTCATTCTTTTCTATGGAGCAGCAATCTTTCATTGCATATATATTCCCACTCGTTGACTAGAGACAATTTAAAATTGCTCTATAAATAAACAATGGGTATAGAAAGATAAGAGGAACTTTTTTTTCAGGGAAATATCATAGCTGCAAAAGATACAGAAGCTCATGTTTCTAAGTCAAATTTTGAAATGTCAATGTGTTTTAAATGGATTGAAACATTTAAAATTAGAAAGCTATAACATTCTATGAAATTTATTCTTACTGGCTTTTTTTGCTTCTTTTTTTTCATTTGTTGGTTGGTTGTTTTTGCTCAGCTTCAGCAGACCGTATTTCTCTGCGATATACTATGCCTTGGCAGGTTATGATCATCAGTTGTGGCAGTCAAATCTGCAGTGGCTCCATAATTAGCAGCTCTTGGGTTCTCACTGCTGCCCATTGTGTCAGGAACATGTAAGTTTATGTCCTGCTTCTTCAAATACTATATAATCCATTACCACCAAGTCAGTTTGTTTAAGCCTTCTTTGGGCAAATTTTTGCTTTCTTTGTCCCAAATCACCTCTTAGGTCCATTACTTATTTGTTTCAGGCAAACATTGAGTTGATTTAACATGTACCTCTATTAGTATTTTCTTCCGAAATCCTATTTCCCAAGTACTAACTTCTTGGTATCTTGATTTCTGTGGAGGTGAAATGCAAGGCTCATGTACCATATCTTAAAAAGACAAATGTGGTTTTTAAGAGTACAGGTTCTGTAGTGAATCCATTTTAAGTAATTTCTATGTATCCACATAGGAATCCAGAAGACACTATAGCGATACTGGGCCTTAGGCATCCTGGGGCACCTCTGAGAGTTGTTAAAGTAACTACGATCCTACTTCACGAGAGATTCTGGTTGGTGAGTGGAGCAGCAAGAAATGATCTGGCTTTGGTACTCCTTCAAGAGGGCCAAAATTCCATTCAGATGTTAGCACCATTGGGGCACTTGAAGAATCTAAATAGCTCAGAATGTTGGCTTTCTGGGCCAAGAATTCTTAAACCAGGTTAGTGATTGTTTTGCTCATTAGGAGAGTAGCTTTAAAAAAATAAGGATTATACTTTTAACTTAAAGTTTAATAAGTCTTACAACAATTGTGCATATACCTAATTTTAGGAACTTAATCAGATTAGAAACCTATTTGTACATGTATTTTTATTTCATTCAATGATTGTTTTGA